GACCGCTTTTCTGAGGATTTAGTTTCTTTAAACGAGGGCTTGTTTTGTTTATGGTCATTTACTTCTAGAGACTGGCAACGCCTTATAAGAACTTTAGCACATTCATTCCAATTGGGAAGTTTCGAATAATCAAGTTGGTCATTCCATTTTGCTCGTGTAGCCCCTTCGACCTTTGACATGGCTAAATGAATAAATAGTGCATTGGTTATATCTTTTTCGCTGCCCAACGAATGAAGCGAATCATATATAGCCGAGATAGTATCAACGGCATTGCGGAGGAGTGACGCACTTGGGTGAGAAATTTTTGGAAGGCTAAACACTTGCTCTACACTGTCAAAAAATATGAGGCACTTCTTATCGTACCTTTCAGCCAGTCGCTCTAATGCTTTCGGATAATTTTCTTCCGTAATTTGAAATGCCTTAACAGTGTGAAGAGCCTCGCCAGACAAACAACTTAGTAAATAGTTGAACCTTTCTATATTCGTAAGTGACTGCTCCTCATGAACAAAATTATTAAATGATCCTATAAAATTTTTATAACCGGCATATTTGCCGTTAAAAGTTGGCAACTTCAGGTTAGGCAAACGAGTCACAGGAGGCATTGTTATTCCGAGGGTTGTTTCCATCATTGAACTGTCCCTTCTTCTATTTCTTCCCAGCAACGAAAGTAATTTGTATTTGACCGAAACACACAAATCCTCTAGCTCACCCCTCTTCTCATCTTCTGATATGCCATAATTTGCTTTATGTATGAATTTAATATATCAAGTCTGCACTCTAGGTCTATCGGGCTCCACAGTATTGTAGAATCATCAAGCAAGTTTTCAATGCGGGTTATATTTTTACGAGACGTGGCGCGTTGTTGCTTCAGTGCAGCAAGCGAAATTGCTGATGACTCAGCATTATCAGTGGATAGTGGCATTCTGAATTGTGTTTGTTTCAATTTAATCGAATAACTCAATAAGAACAACGAAATGAAGTGGTATCCAGTATACCTTTGATCCAAAAATACCAAACTGTATGCAATCTACTGTTTGGCTACGATTTATTCGTAAACAATTTTTTTTTTTTCAAAAAGTTTCTAATAACTTTGGATTTGAACGAAACTCAGAATGGCGAATATATAAATCCAACAAAATTGTTCAAATAATTTTCACTTCACCAAGTTTTTCACAAATGCCCTAAGTCTACCTCAATCCATAACCTTCAGGTAAACCCGAACTAAAATTCAAAATTTTATTTCCAGAAAAGTGGTACACCCTAATATTGCTTTTATATCAAAGCTATTTAATATTGCCAACTGTACTATTTTTGCACTTAGAGCCGTTTGCGTATATATGTACACAAGTATTAACCGTACCAATTTATCGCCTGATGCCAGCTAACGGGAAAACTTTATTTGCCTATGTGTGTACGGTATTAGCTGTACATATATGTATGCCTACTTGCATATGTACTGATATACATATGTACATATAAATGTAAAATATACCACCAAATCCCAGGTTCTTTGTAACTGTTTTTTTTTTTTTTTACCGCAAGCAACTTTTGTATTTGCTACCGCCAGAGACTTGTCTAGAATTTAGCCGCAATTCACTGAATTTATATATATGTGTATATGTATGTACATATGTACCCTGCAAAAAATGGGACTAATCCGGGATGACTCGGGGAGCAATCGCAAAGGAGCATGCGACTAATACCACTTTTGATCTCTTTATATGGAATGAACTGATCGCTTTTGTTCGAGCATGTCCTATGAAGAGACTAATTGTTCACCTTTATACCCGAACGGGTATAAAAAGCGACTAGTCACTTTTAAAAAATAAAAATAAAAATTTGCGCGAGGTGAGATTCGAACCGGGGTGCTCAGTTTTGTTAGGCGAATACTCTCTCTGTGTGCCCACGCCGCACATGAAATTTCATTGACTAAGTGCGTACATATCATTAAATCGTTAATAGTACCCGGTAGAGATGAGTTGGGGACTAATTGATCTCCAATCATACCCATAAGTGATGAGTCGAGACTAATTGACCTCCATTAGTACCCGTATGAGACTAGTTGGGACTAATTAATGCCCAATCGTACCCGATTGAGAGTAATCTCGGAATACTCTCTTTAGAGATTAGTCGCACAATTTTTTGCAGGGTAGTATATGCTTATGCATGTAACTGCACTGGTTATATGTATTTATATATGCCCGTATGTATGTATGTACACATATAACTTTGCATCGCTTTTTATATTTCTATTGAAGTGCCGTTGAATTTACCGCAAGAAATTTTCCGCGATTTAGCCAATCTTCCCCAAAAATATTCTAACGCCAGAATTTTAGCTGTACAAATTCTTTTTTCACAATTTATTCTTTAATTGCCACTTATAATTTCATGCATGCAATGATTTAATTTACATATACATTATAACACCACATACCTCATTGATGCCCACACACATTTTACTTGCTCCGGGTGCAAAAATCCACCGCCGAACCCACTGACTCGCAAGCAGCCACAACACCTCCAACCGCAACCAACAGCTCCAAATTCGCCACCAAGATAGCGACAACAACAACAGCAACGTTCAAGTTCGTTACCACGCTAGCGACAACAACAGCAGCCTCCAAGTTCGCTACCTCGCTAGCGACAACAACAGCCTCCAAATCCTGGACAGAATCGCCCAATGCCAGCAGTCTTTTTCCAACGGGTACCCACGTACTGCGGACGCAATTAAACTGACAGAACACTGGACTGTGTCCTGTCACGGTCGCCAATGACGCAGCGCTAGTTTGCGCTTCGAAAAAACTTTATTGAACAAATTTAAATTTATGAACTGTAGGGCAGTCGTATGCTCCTACCAACAACTAAGCAAACTTATTTAACCGCGTAACTACAAATATTTAATTAAAATCACCACCGACGGCGGAACTTAAGAGGAAACGAGCGAGCAAATTAAAAGTAGTGTTGACCGGTCCGATTATCTTTTTACAATAATTCAGTTTATTCATTCCAGAGAAGTACATAGCCTCAAATGGTTCTTATGTACTATAATATATGCATACTAGTGTGAGTGTATATTCAGCGGCCACGCAGGGCTGCACTATTTACAAAAATACTCTGTTTTAAAGTTGAGGAATTCTAGAGTGCACAAGTTTGTGCAACTATGCATAAGGGCTGTTCAGGATGTTGTGCATGTGATCATGAATTTGCATAATTCAATTCATTTGTAACAGCAAATATAAATGCAAATCCAAGATCATTAGCACAACATCCTGAAAAGCTCTGTATGTAGTATTTAAATAATACAATTCATTTAATGTTGTACATATGTACATATAGAAGCAAATACTACTTAAACACTACATCCAAAGATTACATTGAGTATTAAGTTTAACAATTCAAATATTAATGTATGACTATATCAAGAAATATGAAGTATTACATTCATATGTAAATACAATTCATGTGCAACCAAATATGTGTTCGATATGCAAATCGATAATGCTATGAATTTCATGTAAAATGAACATACTATATGTATATATAAAAATGAAAATAAATGAAGGTTACGATGATGAACTAGGCGTGCTCCAACACCACCTATTCGAAAATTTAAACTCAGTTAAATTGATTAAGTAAATAAAATATTGCCATGTGGGTGTAAACTAAAGAGTTCTAAGAATTCTTACAGCCGAAAATATGTAGGGTTGCCACCTGTTTGAAAATTTAACTAAATTTAATTGATAAAATAAATGACATATTACGATATAGGTATCAAATTAAAGGAGTTTAAGAAAGATGATTGTTGGAAATATTCTGGAGGAGCGCTGCCACCTATTTAAAATTTTAACTCAGTTAAATTGATAAAATAAATGAAATATTGCAGTGTGGGTATCAAATTAAACAGGTTTAAGAAAGATAACTGTTGGAAATATTTCTTAGGAGGGTTGTCACCTATTTGAAAATTTTAACTCAATTAAATTGATAAAATAAATGAAATATTGCCATGTGGGTATCAAACTAAAGAGTTTTAAGAAAGCTTACAGCGGAAACTATGTTTGAGGAGGGTTACCACCTGTTTGAAAATCTAACTAAGTTTAATTTATAGGTATCAAATTAAGAGGCTTAAGAAAGATGACTGTGGGAAATATTTTTGAGGGCTGCCACCTATTTCAAAATTTTAGCTGAGTTAAATTGATAAAATGAAATATTGCAATGTGGGTAATAAAGTTTAGATTTTTAAGAAGGCTTACAGTCGAAAATAAGTTTGTTGGAAAATTTAACTCAGTATAATTGATAAAATAAATGGCTTATTACAATAAAGGTATGAAATTAAAGAGGTTTAAAAAACAGGCTGTAGGAAATATTTTTGAGGAGGGTTTGCGACCTATTCGAAAATTTGAACTCAGTTAATTGATTAAATAAATGAAATATTGCAACTTGGGTGTCAAACTAAAGAGTTTTAAGAAGACTTACAGTCGAAAATATGTTTGAAGAGGTTTGCCACCTGTTTGAAAATATAACTCCATTAAATTGATAAAATAAATGAAATGTTACAATATGGGTACCAAACGAAAGGTATTTGAGCAATCTTGATTTGGAAATACTCTCAATATAATTATGCAATATGTAAAAGTAAACTGAAAATATTTGAATTAAATGAAACATTACATAACTGGTTCGAAACGGAAAGCGTCTGCGAAAACTTTACTAGAGACACTTTTTGTTAATGTTTTCACTTATCCAAATCCGGACAGTTTAAATGAAGAGAAGGTTTACAGTATCATATCAAACGAAGTGATCATATTATCAACGAAGAGTTGGTATACAAATTACGCACTGAAAAAAATTAGTAAAGAACTACTGATAAAAATGAAAAAATTATCACAAGCGTAACGAAAACATAAAAATATCGCATGAAATAAAATAATGAAAACTTAATTGCACCTTAATTGTTATCACCATTCCCTTACATTATAAAACAGTAAAATTTTAATCATAAACAATTTCGTTTGGGGTCGCCATAGGCTACTAAGTATATTGCAAGTAAAGAAATTTTGAATAATAATAGATAATATTATTATGATTATGATTATTATTACTATTGTGAACTATGCGCAAACAAACATTCCCAAATTAAAGCTAAAGCAGAAGGGCACTTACGATCGCATGATGCAAGTGTTAACATAAAAACAGCTGCAGAACTGAACCACTCAGGAACAATTTTTACAAGCGCGTGCAATTTCTGGCATATGCCGATGACATCTACATCATCGGTAACAAAAACCTCGAAGCCTGTTCTACCTTTTCCAAGTTGAATAACAGACGTCAACAACATCAAATAAACAGTCAGGGCATTCGCACCTTGGCACCCACGTCACTGTTGCCGGTTGTAATTTCGAGAAAGTAGATTACTTGGGAACCAGCATTAACACCGATAATAATGTCAGCATGTAAATCCAACGCAGAATCATTCGAGCTAAAAAGTGCAACTTTGGACTGAGTAGGCAATTCGGGAGTAAAGTTCTCTCTCGACGTACAAGAACCACACTCTATAAGTCATTATTCATGCCCGAGCTGGTTTATGGCGCAGTTGCTTAGACAATGACCACATTCGATGAGGCGGCTCTTGGAGTATTCGAGAGAAATATCTAACGAAAGATTTACAAGTCTCTCCGCCTTGGCGACGGGGAGTATAGCAGACGATTTAACGGCGAGTTGTATGAGCTTTACAACGAAATGGACATAGTGCAGCGAATGAAAATACAGCAGCACCGTTCTCTTGGACATGCCATTCGAATGGGAAGCGCCGTTTCAGGTCTGAAAGTATTCAACTCGCAATCCGCTGGTGGAACCAGAGGAAGAGGGAGGCCCCAACTGCAATTGAGAGACCAAGTGGAGAAATATTGGGCTTCACGTGGCATTTCCAATTGGCGCCAGTTGCCCCAGAGCGAAACGACTCACGTTCGGAGAAAATGATATCTGGGAACCTTATTCTTGGATGCGCCAGGAGGAACTAGGAAAACATTCCTTATCAGATTGATTCTGGGGTCCGTTCGTTCAAAAAATTACATTAGCTTAGCTAGGGCTTCGCCTGGAATTTCTGCGACATTGTTACCAGGTGAAAGAATTGCTAATTCAGCAATCCTACGTGCAATAGAAGATCCAGTATGGAAAAAGTATTACAAAAATTTTAACCCATTGTTTGGAATGAGCGCACGATGGCACAAAAAAATTGCTTGAGGTTCGTTCTTAATGGATTGTCGCGGGATTTGCATGGAAACGTTCAACCATACGGGAACGCAATGATGTTTCTCTCAGGAGATTTTACGCAAACATTGTAATTTCTCGATTAAAACTAGCGGGCGAGATAAATGCTTGCCTGAAATAGTCAACATTGTGGCAAGGTGAACATACATACCTGCAGCCGAGGTATTCTCGCGACAAATACTGGATGTTGGGAACGGAAAGCTGCCAGTCAATGAGAGATAAGAAGAATTTCGACAAATATTGTGTGCACACAAGTACTTATTACAAAATCAAACTTATATGAAACGTATGCATTGTTTCATTAATCATTTATCATCTACGTAGCAGGAATATGCCACAGCAAAGCATGGCAGGGTACAGCTAGTATTTTTATAAAACAATAAACAAATTTACAAGTATACTGTGAGTACTTAAAAAAGAAATGGTGTGCGCAGACTTTTGCTGTTAAGTGTAACTGAACTAAATTTTATGGTTATATTTTGCATTCAATTTTATACGTACGTATATATGTATAAAAATTACATTAATGTTACCAATAACGACTTTTTTGGAAATATTTTAGCAGTTGCCCCATAAACTTGAGAATTGCATAATTAAATAATCGAAAACAGTTTGTTATTAGTTTTAGGGTCTAAGAAAATCGAAAAAATACTATAGTATGGTATATTTTCAATGGAGTGCAATGGGGTATNTCCGTTCGTTCAAAAAATTACATTAGCTTAGCTAGGGCTTCGCCTGGAATTTCTGCGACATTGTTACCAGGTGAAAGAATTGCTAATTCAGCAATCCTACGTGCAATAGAAGATCCAGTATGGAAAAAGTATTACAAAAATTTTAACCCATTGTTTGGAATGAGCGCACGATGGCACAAAAAAATTGCTTGAGGTTCGTTCTTAATGGATTGTCGCGGGATTTGCATGGAAACGTTCAACCATACGGGAACGCAATGATGTTTCTCTCAGGAGATTTTACGCAAACATTGTAATTTCTCGATTAAAACTAGCGGGCGAGATAAATGCTTGCCTGAAATAGTCAACATTGTGGCAAGGTGAACATACATACCTGCAGCCGAGGTATTCTCGCGACAAATACTGGATGTTGGGAACGGAAAGCTGCCAGTCAATGAGAGATAAGAAGAATTTCGACAAATATTGTGTGCACACAAGTACTTATTACAAAATCAAACTTATATGAAACGTATGCATTGTTTCATTAATCATTTATCATCTACGTAGCAGGAATATGCCACAGCAAAGCATGGCAGGGTACAGCTAGTATTTTTATAAAACAATAAACAAATTTACAAGTATACTGTGAGTACTTAAAAAAGAAATGGTGTGCGCAGACTTTTGCTGTTAAGTGTAACTGAACTAAATTTTATGGTTATATTTTGCATTCAATTTTATACGTACGTATATATGTATAAAAATTACATTAATGTTACCAATAACGACTTTTTTGGAAATATTTTAGCAGTTGCCCCATAAACTTGAGAATTGCATAATTAAATAATCGAAAACAGTTTGTTATTAGTTTTAGGGTCTAAGAAAATCGAAAAAATACTATAGTATGGTATATTTTCAATGGAGTGCAATGGGGTATAGTCGTTGCGCTGGGTATGCAGTTACAGTTGCATGGCTATACTCAATCCCGACTCTTGCGTCCTCGTTCGCGCACTCTGGGCAACGTGAGCAACCCATGTGCGAGATGCGGTAACCAATCCGAGTGGAGCCTTGGGTCACGGCAGAAAGAGAGGGAGCTTCGGTGGGGCCACTCCGACTTATTCGGTATAAGGGCTCACTGAAGTCTGCAGCGTCTGTTCACCAGTAGGTGCGGCTGCAAGCGAGTATCTGCTTGGAGCAAGCGGCTCGCTCTATAAACGTGTATTTGGTTGCGAAACCACCCCCGTCCCAGCAATGGGTTGTGCGCTGGGCTTGGGACCCGCCACGTAAAAACCACTTCCAGTGAAGAAGCAAGGCAAAGCCTCGGATGAGACCCCCCCTTATGATGACGACCACGGCAAACGTTTAAAGGACTACGATTTGAGGGCATGCACCTGGAATGTCCGGACCCTTAATGGGGAAGGTGCCTCTGCCCGGCTGGTTGATGTCCTCGTAAGGACAAAAGCTGACATCACCGCCATCCAAGAAATGCATTGGACGGGGCAAGGCAAGCGACTCCGTCGCCGAGTACTGTCGTTCACCCCGGTGGACGAGCGTCTAGCCACAATCCGCGTCAAAGCGAGATTCTTCAACATCTCGCTCATCTGCGCCCATGCCCCGACGGAAGAGAAGGATGAGGCATCCAAGGCTCTCTTCTTTGAGCGCTTGGAGCGCACATACGAGCGCTGCCCCCGTCA